TATGATATTACACAAAATTAAAAACTATTATTTTATCTACATATAATTAAAATAAAATATATTATTAATTAAATTAAATATATTAATTATATATATTATGTGTATATAATTTTGCATCTATAAATGTATGTTTTTTTTTTTAATATAACCAAAGATCGCGCAGAGCTTCATAAAACTGAATACCTATTTATCTTGAAAACAAATTTCTTTCGCGAATTTTACGACAGATGTTACCCAGATAAAAATTAAGTATCTTAATTGCGAAATACATTCGTTCATTCCTTTTTCTTAATCTTGCCAGTAATATTAAGCAAAATCAATTGTATTAATCTAATATCTCTTTGTTCTTTGAAACTTCTTCATAATGGGCGATTAAGTCGAATAAAAAAGAAAGGAGCACTCAATAGAAAAATAGCAAGCAACAATAATATATGAATAAAGGAAGGAACTGAACGTGAACGCGCATTAATATAATGACTCCCAATTAAAGAGGACCAAGTTGCTAAACCATTTCTATGCCGCGCACGCGGTGAATTTAACAGTCGTAGTATATATCGTTTTCGAGGTGATAAGAATCGTCAATATATAAGCGATAGAGAGAATAACTCACTCAACCAACTGAATGTTAATATATCGAAGATAAAAAGAGAACAACGAAAATGTGACAAGCATTGTACACGTAAATATAAATATAATACTTATAGAGACAAGGCGCATCCATTATATATATATACATAAACATATGTACATGTACTAATCGATCGAATCACACTGAAATTCGAGAACTGATAATTTTTATTCGTTCCTGATTTAACTATGATTGACATTTCGCCATTGTTTAAACACATCTTATAATTAATACGACGCTGTGTATTTCAGAAAGATAAGATACATTTCCATGCGATGTAAAATTTGATAAAATTTCTTTTACGTCAACTATTATAGTTTTGTGCCGAAAGATTTCTTTTCTTTCGTTTCGCGTTTGTAAAAGTAATGCAGTCGTAATGAAACGAGAGAATTTCAAGTCGATTCCGTCGATTATTACATTTATCGGGTTTATTATATTAATTATAGGAAGGAAAGAGAGAAAGAGAGAAGGAGAAGTGAAAATGTTGCGGTATGTTAATGCGTTAAGAAGATATACGTGAAAATGTTTTGTGTATGCATCAATGCGTGCTTATGTACACGAATTTCACGAAGAAGCAGGCATGATCACCGCTAAACCTGACTTTTAAAAAAAAATGAGAGAGAGAGAGAGAGAGAGAGACAGAGTGATAGAAAAAGAAAAAACACGTAAGAGGAAATAATAGGGTTTAGATTAGTGTGATACAAGGTACGACAAAGCAATAATTTAGTGATTGTACGATATACTTGATTAGTGAATTAGTGCTAAGTTAATGATACTTTCGAAATCTATAAATATTTACTCGATAAATCGTATAGTTTTGTAGAAATGCTGGAAAGATTGCCATTTCAGATTAACACTGTCTTGGGATCAAAGATTTAGGGGAAAAATGTAGTGGAAAAAAATTAAAAAAAAAAAAGAGAGAATTGGTAAGAGTAGTTGGAAATGAATGGACAAAACCGCGATATAAGTAGTCCAGATCCGAGATTTTTTTTTTTTTTTTTTTTTCGTACAAACATGAGATGAACAAAACGAGCAATTCAGTAAGCAATTAAAAATGAACGAAAAACAAACGAGACTTCGAGCACATTGTTCGCGACTTTTTCTAACAGGATGAATTTCGAGATAATTATACTCGTTTGCGAATATGCGTATCTTACTGGAAGAAACAGAATAGAAATATCGCCTTTAAATTTCGCAACGTGATGCTTTGTCATTCAGAAGGAGCCATCTTGTACAGGTGCCAAATTCATGCACGCCGAAAGAAAAATATTTGAGGAAAAGAAAAAAACAGAGGAGAAACATTCACCGATTCACATCCGAATATGATAATCCATATCGCAATGCAGCTTGTAACGCTTAACGATATTTGCTCGACACATTTCTAATTACGTCATATGTATCATACAGGAACCATCACTTAAAGAATGAGAAAGTAAAATGAATATAAAAATACTGCACAATTGGAAAGTTTGTGTTCAATTTAACATATTTCATGTGTCCCAAACGATCCACTCAAATTTTTTAGTTTGACACAAGCGTATGAATATGTTAAAAAATAATACAAACGTTATATGTAAAAAAATTGACATAAAACACATAACATTGATACAATTTGTAAGAAAGTTGAAACATATTTTTTCAATAAAATTAACATTTATGATAAATTAAGAAATGTTGAATATCGATTTAATCGTATAAAATATTCAGATAACGTAATCACATTATATTAAATTAACACTCGGATATGTTAAATATTAAACACAAAATTTTAATAAAGACTTGAGTGAACCGGTCTTAACATAAAAACATGTTTTTTAATGTGTATACTTTTCATTTCTTAAAAAATTTAAAAGAAAAAACAATTACTGGCCATCGCGTGCACAATGGCTTTTATTTGTGTCAATATTATCACACAGAGTTGGAACGATTAAAAGTTGTTTACTTCAATCTGTCTATTCTAAGCTTTTAAATGAATAAAATACAAGAAATTTATTGCGGAAATATATAAATTGATATCATAAATAAAAATGAGTTTGCTTCTTTCAAATTCACGAGAAACAAGTTTATGGAATTTTTAAAAAGTATACGCAATGATCTGTTGATGTATGATTCGATGGAAATATAGTAGCGCTTACTTCGACAGTCGCTATCACTCTCTTTTTTTTTATTTAAAAAAAAAAAGAAATAATAAGAACAATGTAACACGTTTGCAAATACATCGCAAGAAATCGATTGCAGCATTAAAGTAAATATGCATAGACGAAATATTCTTCCAATAAAACACGCTACAAATGGCTTAGTGTAAAATGCAAGAACTGTTTTCGAGTAAAAGAAAGTGTAGTGATAAAATATTGACTCTGATGAAAATTTTTCTATAAATTCTTCATATAATTTTTCAGAATTTTTGTATAAATTTCAAAAATTCTGCATAATTTTACTTTTTTTAGAAAATTTCTCAGATTTTTTAATATGAATTAAAACACGTTTCAGAAATACTAAGAAGATCTATATCTTTTTTAAAATTCTTCATATTTAAATTCTGAAATATTCTAAGACTTTTAAGATTTTTCATTCAATAATTTTTGCTAAAAACACATATAAAATATGAAAAAATTTCAAGGTGTTTTTTTCAGAAATCTTCATAAATTGAAAATATAATAGGAGTTCTCTCTCTCTTAAAAATGTTATCTCATTATGAGAATTTTTTTCACCAGAGTAATATCAATTTTTCAGATCATTCCATGAATCTTTATGTTTTCGATAGACATCGTTCAATGCATAAATATCAGAATCAGTCAATATATTGTTGATGGCAATTGCTATAGTTATTGAAAGCAGACAAATCCAATTGAAAGCAAAATCAGCGAGATAATACTCTGTTATAGTATCAAAATTGATATTGTAATTCGGGAGGTATGTATATAAATTTTTTTCGAACACCCGACTACAACACGTGTATAAACTCGGCGGACTACCACTAAGAATTCACTCACAATGAAGAATAAAAGGTGATATAGATGAATTTGCCAATTTTGGAACAATGTAACACCAAACTTCAAACTAGAACTATTGTACACGTCGCGCGTACTTTTTAATGTCAAATCAAACTTTGTTAGTCATTTATAACGTTGTGTCTTGCATCTATACATCGCCGATACCTATAAATAGGAATAACACAGAACGATTATCCTTCGATGTGTGAAAGACATTGTACTCAACATCTCCGAGCAGTTTCTTCGCAGATTCAGTACTATTACGAGCAAGATCGATTTCAGCGTCATATACTGACATGAATTCGATATCTGAAAGAAAGTCACATGTATTCCAAACAGCAAACGTGTCTAAAAAGATGCTCTGATCTTTCTCAAGAACTTTAGACGTCCTTGAAATTCCATTTGTTGTTTGGAATATTATGTTATATAAACACGTGCATGTATATACTCACACACAAACAACATATATATTATATATATATATATATATATATATATATATAGTGTATATGTATTTATATGTATATATGTATGTATATACATACAACATACACACACATATTAATGGCGATTGAACTTTGTTAAAACTCTCAAACTGACTCGTCACACATTCGGTATTTCATACATCAGATGCTGATTCGCGAAAGAATGCAGAAGAACGTGAGAAAATGACTCGGATTGTAAGGGTGAGGATAAAGCGTTTTACGAAAGGCGACAACAAATACGTTCATGACCAACATACGTGTGAACCACGCGAATAAAATAGCGACGGATATCTTTACAAATTTTTCGTAGTGCAAGCCGGCACTCCGTCGCTGCGACGTCGACGAAAGCAATTTTACATAATATTTACAGCGGTGTGCAATAAACAGCACACGTCACACATAAATTAATTCGTACCCAGTAATGTAATGCAAAAGCCGATCGTGTTACTGACATGTTTCTTATCAATAAATTAAACCTTAAATATGCATGTTAAAACATTTACTTCATCCCGCATTTTGTAATTCCCGAATTTATCCTTTGAAAAAATATACCATCCTTTTTTTCAGAGAAATGTGAAAATCAATAAATATCCAAATCCAAAGATTAAGGTAAATATTAAATTTGCAAATATCATTGTTTCAAATATCTTATCTGCTTGCCCGCCTTTTAGTTCCAAAGAGAGAGAAAAAAAGATTATATAACATAATGTCAAATAAAAACATATCTTTAATAATCATCTAAAAATTAATGAAATATTAGCAGTTTATTGAAAAAAACACAAGAAAAATCTTAAGGTTTCTAAGTTTCGCGAGTATTATTTCGTACAATTACTCCATATATAATTATTTTCAGTCGACGAAGGTGAAAGCGGATTTGAGACGAGATTAAAAAAATTAGAGTACAATTTAAATTTAATTACATGAAAACATTACAAGTGATACACGCTAAATCTGACAACTTTAACGCGTACAGTGATTACAACAGCTGATACAGCTGAAAATATACTGTTGAACAATCGTAAACTTATTATAATATATGTATTTCAAACTATAATACAAAGCATTTGTGAGACTAAAATATTACAATTACAGTCGTTGCTGCGGTTGTTTGTCGGTGGAGGCCGCTTTAGAAGTTTGCGCTTCTGATGCTTTGTTCTTTTTACTACTGTCCTCGGAAGATTCTCCCTTTTGCACATTCCATTCCTTCAAACCTTCCGGTAACGAAGTATCCTCTTCAAAAGAACCTGTGCCTTCGACAAATTCTTCATAAGTGGATTTTTCACGGAAAGGCCGAGGTCCAAGTAATTCGATCATGTCATCCCTACTTAAAATCTCCTGTTTTAACAATCGTTCAGCGACCTGAAATTAAGCGAAATTATATTTCAATCTTCATTTTGATAAAATTATTTAACATTAGAACCGTCGATGATGTCATTTTCGCTCTGCTGTTAAAAAATTGTTATTAACTTCTATGTAAATTTTTGTACTGATTAAAGGATTTTTTTAAGAAATTTTTATCATTTTAAAAGTTTGATTTATAAAAATTAATTAATCAATTTTATTCATGTTTAAACACTTTATTTCTATTTTTACCTTAGTTGATGGTCGAAGCCACTAATATGGTACTTGCAATAAAACAAACAGAAGTGTTTTTCTGATTTTGAAAAATTCATACTATGTCATCTAGACCAAAATAAGGAACACATTTTTTTTATACGTGCTCATACGTACTTTTAGGGAGTAAAACACTCCTTCGACAAAAATTGGTTTTTCAAAATCAATTGGTTTTCCAAAATCAATTCCTTTCGCAGTGAATATCATCGAAATTATAAGAAATAGAAAAAAATTTTTCACTAATAGTTGAATGTTTTTTTTAGAAATATTGTATAGTAATTGTGTGTGTGTGTGCGTGTGTGTGTGTGTGTGTGCGCGTGTGCGTGTGTGTGTGCGTGTGAGAGAGTGTATGATTAAAGATTGCGTATTAAACAAGAAAATATTTACCGTTATTATAAAGTATTCTTTTCTGAAATTATTTACAACTTTATTGAAAACATTTTTTTTATCTTTTACAATTTCGACAATTTTTTCGCTTCGAAAGCGAATATTTACTTGCATAGCAACGAAGAAGAGTGATATGCGTGAAAAATAAAACTATGCGCGAATGGCGAAACTATTATTGAATTGCATGCAATAAAATTAAGTACAATAAAATTTTATTATCCAATTATAGCATATTAAAATTAATACAATCTTAATTAATGCAAATAGTATAAAAATAACGTTTCATTAAAGAAAAGCAAGAAACTGGCGCCTTTCGCCAGTTCTAGGAAAGTGTCTCGTTTTTCGGCAGTTCTAGTATTAAATGATAAAATCATAATTACCTTGATTACATCTTCTTTATGCTCGTTCAAGAGAGCTAGCGTCCGCTTATGTGCCTTTTCAATCAAATCTCGAACCTCGTTATCAATAAGTTGCGCAGTATATTCCGAATACGGTTTATCAAAGACCAACTCTCCTGTATTCGGCATTTCAAAACTAACATTTCCAATCTTCTCGTTCATACCGTATTGCGTAATTTGTGCATACGCAACTTTTGTAATCTTAAAAATTACAGAAAGGAATTTAATGAAAAGAAATATCGAAATATAGAAAAGTAAAAATATTGTATAGGTGCTAATGACACAGTGTTGAAATCGTTTGTCAAGCAAAAGATACAGGAATTACACCATGTGTTTTATTGTTTTTATATAGTCATTTGTGTTTTATTGTTTTACATAATCGTGATAATACCTTCTGTAAGTCATCTTGAGCGCCTGTAGTAATGCGGCCGAAAAAGATTTCTTCCGATGCTCGTCCACCGAGCATCATGCACATCCTATCGAATAACTGTTCCTTTGTGTAAAGATATAGCTCACGTGGCAAGTACTGAGCATATCCTAATCCTTTACCACGTGGAATAATGGATACCTAAGGGAATCAATACAAGTAGTACAAAAAATTGTACTGTCTATTGTGAAATATAAATAAGATATAGTAACTTTTAAAAGTGGATCTGCATGTTCTAAAAACCAGCCGGTTATCGCATGACCAGCCTCATGGTATGCAACTGTCTTCTTCTCCTCTGGTTGTAACACTTTAGTCTTCTTTTCCAGGCCAGCAATTACTCTCTCAATAGCTTGCTCGAAGTTTTTAAGTTGAATGTTATCATTCAAGTCTCTTGCCGCAATTAGAGCTGCTTCATTGCAAACATTTGCAATATCTGCTCCTAAAAATGTTGCAATATTACGATAGATTTCTTCTAATTTTCATTGAATATAAAATATTTTATTTGCCATTATATTTCAAAAATTTTCATTATATACCTGTAAATCCAGGAGTCAAAGATGCCATTTTTCGTGCTAATTCATCTTTATCTAATTTCGTTTTCAAAGGAGCTAAATGCACTTTGAAAATAGATGCTCGTCCTTTGATATCTGGAGCAGGAACAAATATTTGTCTATCAAATCTACCAGGTCTTAATAATGCTTTGTCTAGAATGTCTATCCTATTAGTCGCCGCTAATACAACCACATTGGTCGTCGTGTTAAATCCTTAAAGAAAATTTAATCAAAATGTTAGATTATTTGATAATTTTCAATCTTTTCATGTTCAAAACTACGATGTACCATCCATTTCTACCAAGAGCTGATTCAATGTATTTTCTTGCTCAGAATGTCCGCCAAAATTCCGACCTCCTCTTTTTCGTCCAACTGCATCGATTTCATCAATAAATAATATACATGGTGCATGTTTTCGTGCCATAGAAAACATATCGCGAACTCTGGAAGGACCGACACCCACAAACATCTCCAAGAATTCCGAACCTGATACTGTAATAAAGGGTACGTTCGCTTCACCAGCTGTAGCTTTAGCTAACAAAGTTTTACCAGTACCAGGCGGCCCTATAAAAAATACGACATGTATGTACAGCACGTATAACATCTTTAAATTCGATCGATATATTAGAGTTTGGTTAGAGTTGAATCAAAAAATATACATCTAATGAATAATATATATTTTATACAATATATTTTCACATAAACTTTAGTTACCTGTTAGCATAGCACCCTTTGGTATCTTAGCTCCAAGATCTATATATTGTTGCGGATTCTTTAGGAAATTTACAAATTCCATGATTTCGATTTTAGCTTCTTCACATCCAGCTACATCTCTAGTGTCGAGCAATATACAATTTACTAATCAAGAATTGCATGCATTAAATATAAAAATATGTGCTTATACGTATGTATTACTCACTTAAATCGTACCCCAATATCTTTCGAATTTATTAATTTCGCAGTCGATTCCATTACTTGACCAAAAAGTCCACCCCTTTTACCTCCTTTACCTGACATTACTTCCGCTGATCTTCGTATTAAGAAAATGAGGAACCCTAAAATATATTTTAATGATAGCCACAAAAAAAACACGCACAATAGATTGACAATTATAATAGTTTATAAGATTAATAATTAATTACTCACCCCACATAATAATCTGTGGAACATATGATAGAAGGTTTGAACTTTCTACTTCATTTTTGTAGACCACAGGAATATAATTCTCAGGTCCCATGTTTAATTCTATTTGTGCATTTTCTAAATTTCTTTCAAAAGTATCTGTACTTCCAATATTAAACCATAGTGTATCCTATAAAAAACATTAATAAGATAATAAAGTACCAATATGAAATTAAAAAGTAAGTAAACTCTATCACTAATCTTGCAATTAAGAACTTACAGAACCATCGACGGTATACCCAGGTAAAAGCTTCACACGCACCCATTTTTTATTTATTACTTCTAACTTTTCGACAAGACCTTTATTTAGATAACTGAAAAACAAAAATATAATTACATAATTATAAGCATAAATTATTTTAATTTTATATATATAGGGCAGATACTTCTACCTGTTAGTGTAAATATATCTATCAATATTGATTTGTATTTACAAATAACGAGTCCTGTTAATATTTAAATCACCCTTGCATAATTATTGGTAATAAAATTTACTTACTTATATATAAATTCTCTCCATGTAATCTCTTTCAGATTAAAGTCCTGAGTAAGCAGTAATGCAATTACACCACTTACTCCAAGTGCAACCAAAATCATTAATGTTTTTTCCTTATCACCACCTTCGAACGATTTACCTCCTTGAGAGCTGTTTCCAAAGATCTTAGATATCCATTGGAAACTAGGCTCTTTGGAACCAGACGACGATGTAGTGGTAGAAGAAGATGAAGGAGGTTTTTTAGTCGTTTCAGCTTTTTTACTTGTTTCTTCTGCTTTTTTGGAAGCATTTTTACCATTTTTACCTTCACCTGTAATAAAATTGCTTTAGAAATCCTATATACAATTTGCTGTAAAACTAAAAGATGAATGAAAGTCATATAGAAATAAACCTGGTTTGAAAAATTTTTCAAATCCTTTCGGTGGCTCTTTACAAAATAATCTCCACTTTTGCTGTACCTGCTCGATGGCAGATAGTGTCGTACTATTTTTAAGTTGTGATAAGTGACGTCTCAGCTAAAAAAATATGTTTTAGCTTATTATTCTAATGACTTATAAATAAAATAACAAGAATTATGTCATTATTCTTGATATTTCAATTACATAATTTCGTCTATAAAATCGCAAGTAATAATTACAAAGCTGATGTAAATCATGTGTTTCATTGCGACAGTTGATAGATTGTAATACAAATGAGTGAAAAAGATAAGTACACGAGAGTATCCTTTTTAAAAAAAATACGTTATATGACATACACTTAGAAAACGAATCATAACTGCGACGGAATAAGCAAATGCATCGATTGCAGAAGGTTGTACAATCGAACGTCTGAAGTACGCGACACGCAGATAACGCTCGCGCAATAACTGCGGGCGATTATTATTAACGTCACGATAACGCTCGTCGTGTCATTTCTTGCACGAAAATTTATTAACGTCGTCAGCGGTCGTCCTGGTGCGACGTGTTATGTGGTATTATGTGACGAATACACGGGTTACGGAAGTGCACGGAAGCGGCGAATAGGTTATGATACCTGAAATGTGTCGAAATAACCTTTCTGAGCGGATTGCAGGACTAGTCTCTCCAGCCTGCTGGCTGAGAAGAGCAGTTGGTGCGCCATACCTGGAGCAAATGTCGTAAGCGGCCCTATTGAGAGTCGGATGATCCCTGTTTACTTATTAATTATTATTTTTCCCTCGCTGAATCTCTGGGCGCAATGTATTACCAGCTGTGAGCGACCATTTCAGCTCAGTTATCACTGATGATGAAGCAAAATACCCACAGTACTTCAGCCGGCAGTGGCTTCGAAATTATTGCCGGTACTGTCGTCATCGATGGCTACGGATTTGGCAAAGTTCCACTCCTTCGTTTTAATTTTTTTTTTTTTCGCAATCTTTCTCGGCAAATTAGAAAATTGGAGAATTAGCACCCTCTCGTTGTTTCAATCATTGCCTCATTGACTTCTTTTATGTCTAGTTTTTATTAGTAAAATATATACTAGAAATCTCAATATCAATCACCACATGACTTATCGCGACTCACCGTTCACGTAAAAATATAAATAAAACTCATATCAGACTATCGATACCAAACTCTGCAAATCGATCGGACTCTTGATTACTGATTTTTAACTACCGATCTATAATGAACCAATCATAATGGCTGTGACTGCTAGTCTACTCACCAAGTGATTGAATGTGATTGGTTAGATTTATAACTACGTTTACCCAACATCCATCAGATTTAATAAATCCGTATTTAGAAACTGGCCAATCACAGTCATTTCATTCTTTAAAGGAACACAGGAAAGAAAACTTTCTTAGGGCCGGTTATTCCACCTTTTGATAAATTTTACCTGAAGAAATTTTACCTAAGATTGAGATTAAAAATTAAAGATTGAAATTTCACCAATGAGGACAAAGAAATTTTGACTCCTTTTGTTCTATTTTTCAATCTTCAATCTTATTCTTCAATGCGTAGTCTGATTCCGGTTCTAAGGGAATCAACCAATCGAAATTCTTTTTCTCTATGGAATTGGAGGAAAGGAAAGATTCTAATTAGTTGATTCGCTTATGCATTATGCAAAAATTTGTGCTGCGCCTAATATTATAGATGTGTTGACCATCAATACCATCTAGTGACAAAAAACCGCGGATACTTTTTAGATGACCCAATAAAAGTGGAGATCGATTTTACTCGTTCGAGTTAAGTTTCGATTCTTAACACTCGCGGCGCTTGTGAACTTGGTAGTCCTGTCGTTTGCGAATAATGAATGCGCCGTAGGAAGTGGATGTTTTCCAACAACGACCACAGGTGACACAGTGGGTGCATTTATCTGATTGGCATATTCCATTAGATCTTAAAATATAGACTAATCAGATAAAAGAGCTCACTGAGCGCTCAGTGAACGGTTGTCATTCTGAATGCACTCAGTGTAACATTGTGTCTTACACAAAGTGTTCCAGCTATGATGGAATGTTACATTGTTCGACACAGTAAGAAACTAAGTACGAGCGTATAAAATATGTCAATGTTATCAATTTTTCAAAAAGTTATTTGGTAGCCGATACTCATTTTGCAATAAGATTCTTAAAAATCGTCAATTCTGAAAAAATTATAACTTAAACCTAAATAAGAATCAACTCTATTATTGATACGCTAAATTGTCAATTATGAGAATAGAATGGAAGACTGCAATGCATTCCGGTGTTACACTATGAAACTAAACTGCATTCCAACAAATACTTTACACAGTAGAACACAGTGTAACGTCTTTGTGTCCTAGCTGGAAAACAGTTAGTGTCACGAACGTTAAATGTAACTTAACCCCGTAAAGGCGATTTTTTTCTGCGATTAATCTTCGTCAGGATTATTCTTCATCAGGAAGGAAGATTAATCGCAGAACAAAACTGGGAGTCTCCTTAATCTTTCTTCCTGGAGAAACAGCTGATTCTTCCTTTTTTGTAGTGTTCTCAACGAGTCGGCAACACTGATTGGCAGTAAATTTGGAGCACAGCAATTATTTTATTATTTGGGAGCAGATGTTTGTAGATTTTGTTGGGATTAATATTGGAGTTAATATTGGGGTTAATTATAGAAATCAGAAATACGTTCATTTAAATCGTAAATGCAGTTAAATCATAAAGTTTTTATTAAATTACAATAATGAATTCAAATGCAGTTTCAAAGGTAAGTTTAATAGATAGCTGCAACACAGTAAAGTAAATTATGTTACTGTAATTGTTACTGTTTGGAAGAAAAACGTACATTATTATTTTAGAATAAGAATTATTTCACTTTTACAGTGATATTATATGTATTATTATGCTTCTTTTTAGTCTTCAGTTGCACCATCCGTGCAGGAATTTAGTATTAGAGTACCAAAGTTAGTATTGTTAATACCTAATACCTGTGTTTCTACATTTAAATCATTATGATAAAATATTTGTTTTCATTTATGGATTCTTTTAGAAATAGCAAGAAGAAGCACAATGTCATGAGATTCAATGCAACACTGAATGTAGATTTTTCGAAATGGTCCCAAGTAAAAATGGAACGGGAGAACAATATGAAAGAGTACAAAGGTATCGAAGAAGAAATGCCAAAGTTTGGTGCTGGATCTGAATTTGGACGTGATGCTAGAGAAGAAGCTAGAAGAAAGAAATATGGTATTACCAGTAGGAAATATAAACCGGAGGATCAACCATGGATTTTAAAATCAGGAGGAAAAACTGGAAAGAAATTCAAAGGTATTCGGGAAGGAGGAATCAGTGAAAATGCTGCATATTACGTCTTTACGCATGCTGCTGATGGTGCTATAGAAGCTTTTCCTTTACATGAATGGTAGGCTTTATATTGTTGATTGCATATATTATTTGTTGGTGAATATTCAAAAGTCAAACTTTCATAGGTATAACTTTCAACCAATCCAGAGATACAAGTCTCTCAGTGCCGAAGAGGCAGAGCAGGAATTCAGTCGTAGGAACAAAGTAATTAATTATTTCACACTAATGTTACGAAAGAGATTGAGAAATGATGAGGATGGTGGAGATGAAGAGGAGCTAGCAGAAGGTGGTAAAGGCAAGAGACCCAGTAAAAAGGAGAAGGAACTACAAATATCAGAAATGGAGGAATGGGAAAATGATGAATCAGGCAGCAATGAAGATGAGAAGAAAGGATCTGAAGATGAGGACGATGGAAAAAAGAAAAAGAAAGACAAAAGTAATACAAGAAATTATATTTTTAATTATAGATATTTAGTTTCATATAATGAAAATATATATTAATTATGTATTATATGTATATAGATAAATGTAATTTAATTAAATGTTCCAGTTCAATTGGAAAAAAAGAAAAAGAAGAAAAATGTCTCAGACGATGAAGCATTTGAGGAAAGTGATGACGGCGATGAGGAAGGAAGAGAATGTGATTATATTTCTGATTCTTCTGTTTCTGAATCAGAATCAGAACCACAGAAGGAAGTTAAGTCTGTGGCAGAAGAAGATGCTTTGAGAAAGTTGCTCGTGTCTGATGAAGACGAAGATGAGGAGGAACAGACAGATAAAAAAGATGGAGAAATAGATAAGGATGAAGACGAGGAAGGAAAAGAAAAAGATGATAAAGTAATATATTGTTATAGCATTTATTGATAAATAATACCCACGTTGCATTTTCCATTCTTTAAACGATATAAATTATTTCATTAATTAATGCAATAGCATTTATCAATATTATTATGTACATTTACTAACTACTTTGTTTTATATTTCTAATATATTTTGTATTTTAGGATAAAGATAAACTTGGTAAAGAAATGGACAAGAGGAAAGACAAAAAGAAGAAGAAAAAAGCCAAGAAAAAGGATCAGAAGAAATCAGCGTCAGGAAAGGATTCTTCCAGTGATTTCTCCAGCGATTCGGAATCAGATTCTGATACAACGTTAAAAGAGAAGGATAATAAGAAGCCCAATAGTGCACACAGCTCGAGATCTGCAACACCGACACCTTCAGCGTCCGGTGTCTCGGATTCTTTTAAGAGAAAGCAATCTGGTTCTCCAGATTTATCGCAAGCGAAAAAATTAAAACTCGATAATTTCAATCTAGTTCCAGTAACATCATATATACCGGGAACGAGGTACAGCTCTCTTTATCTTTATTTTAAACGATATAAGCATGCAATAACAATTATACTTTTATTACGATTATTATAATTTTAATATTTTATATTTTTCAGCGAATCGGGAATCACGGAGGATGCAGTGAGGCGGTATTTAATGCGCAAGCCTATGACAACAACCGAATTGCTGCAAAAGTTCAAATCCAAGAAAACTGGTCTCACATCCGAGCAACTTGTCAACATTATGACTCAAATATTGAAAAAGATAAATCCCACCAAGCAAACTATCAAGAACAAAATGTATTTATCAATCAAAGCGCAATCCAACTGATGTCAGTGCGCATATGCCGTCTCGAGTTGTTCGAGATTATACATGTTTGTTCAGTTATATAATATCATTCTCTGTAATATAACTTTACAAGTAGAAATACATACATTGTACATATATATAATTTTACTGTATCAGAAAATATCTTTCCATTTCAATTTTCCATGATCTTCTTAAGTTAAAGCAAATAGCGTGTGAGTCACGCTAGTGAATAGATCACGAGTTGATCGACAAGTTTATTGTTTACAATTGTGTATTTATTCTTGGCGCGCGTGTCATCATTATCAAGCCAACAGCGATAAACACACGCATGAAGAAAAACAGATTTTTCCAAGGATTTTTCCATAAATTTCTTTCAATGATGATCAGAGGGTCATACGATGCCGATAAGAGTATAGCTCGAGCTTATCGAGGATTTTGTAATACTTTCTGACTTCTTCATTGACCCAAACAGTACACGTACGTGTGATTAAGTGTAGTGCATAGATTTAGCAGTATATTGTTGACGCGAGTTAATACACAATTTAAACACAAGCAAGATTCGCTCCAGTCGACGCGATCGTTGCAAATTAGTTTCAACTGGTGAATTGGAACTTCTTCCCGGAAACGGTGATCTTTATACAGTCGCTAAATCAACGTTGACCAAGGTGATGCGGATGTTAAAATTGATAAAGACTGGACGTAATTCACGTCATCTGTTGATTACTGCAACTCGTGCTCTCACCCATAACGTCAGATGTATAAGTGTAAGCATTTAGTTACGTTTAAAATAATGCCTTCCACATGGCATTTCAGTGACGATCCATTTAATCAATTGTGCCGACATCGGACATCGCTAATTCTCGGAATAAACAAATAGACATTAGAGAAAAAATAAAAAAATTCATCCGAAAAACTAAATTTTTCTTAATTTCCGAAATCGAGCTTTGAATAAAAAAAAATATCTGCTCTTTTTTTCCGTTACTTCTAGCTTGTATTAAACACCCAATGGTTCGAATAAAATGATTTATCTGGAAAAATCAATAAGAAAGACAAAAGACACAGATTTTTTTTTTAAACGAACTATCGTACTGTAAATAAAATATGCTGATTAGCTGAGCGTTCTTTTGCATCAAATCTTTTTAGAATCTTAAGGGTAAGATAATAGCTATAAGACGGGAAGATCAGTC